TTTCGGACTTTGCATGTGGTGTACATACAGCTCTGTGAGGTTCTGGTATAATAAGAATAGCAATAAACCATTCTCAGTTTTAAGCTACACAGATTCATTGGATTAGTGATATTAATAGAACAGATTCTAAGCTCAGAACCTACAGCCTCCTTAAAAATGATATCAGTACGTCACCCTATCTGCATTTATTACATAATAGAGAAGACATCAAAGTAATGTCACACTTGAGATTGAGCTGCCATAAACTTCAAATTGAAGTTGGCAGACATAAAAGACCAAAAGTACCAGCAGAAAAAAGAATCTGTAAAAAATGCACTTCATCAGAAATTGAAGATGAAATACATTTTGTAACAGGGTGTGATTTTTATAATACTGAAAGAGAAATACTTTATACAGAATTCACAAATGTACTCCCCACTTTTCAATCAGAAAACAATATAAAGAAATTCAAAAATATTATTAATACAAATGAACGTAAACTAATCAAGCATGTGACTAAATACTTAAAATTTTGTTTCAAGAAACATCACACATAGACATGTACTTATCATATATAATTGTATATCATCACACTATCTCAGGCCATTTTAAGCTGCATTTATCTTAATTTTCTTTAACTTCTATTTTTGTTACTGTTTTTTTAAATTTATTATATAACAGCCTAAAATGATTTGTTAACTTTCATTATGGTGTAATAAATGAAATTATTATTGTTATTATTATATGGTACACTCAACCACAATAAATAACACTGGACATGAAGAATTCTGTATCTGCACTGATAAAGCACTGATAAAACAAGCCACTTTACCGGGTATTTCATTTCCATTACCATTGACTTCCTCCCTGCAGATAAAACCACAGTCCCTCCACAAGGACTGTGATCAAACAATGTAACCTTGACAATGTCGACAAATTTGCAACATGTACCAAATTATATAGATTTTGATTTATGCTGGTTACGAAAACTCTCAAAATGCTATTTTCATCGCAAATCCAACAAAGAAATCCACAACCAACGGTAATATGTCTATATATACCGGTATGTGTAATATATAAAGTACACATTACGCTATCAGTGAGATATACCCAGTACATGCAAATCATTGGGAGTCAGTGGTAGGGTACACTGTAAAGTATTTCTATCTTGCTACAATATTATGTAGTAGTCAATTACTCACCCCACCCCCAGTAAACCATTGGTGGTCAGTGGTAGGGTACACTGTAACGTATTTCTATCTTGCTACAATATTATGTAGTAGTCAATTACTCACCCCACCCCCAGTAAACCATTGGGAGTCAGTGGTAGGGTACACTGTAACGTATTTCTATCTTGCTACAATATTATGTAGTAGTCAATTACTCACCCCACCCCCAGTAAACCATTGGGAGTCAGTGGTAAGGTACACTGTAAAGTATTTCTATCTTGCTACAATATTATGTAGTAGTCAATTACTCACCCCACCCCCAGT